GAGAAAGCCCTCTCTGCCTTCCATCAGTATGGCTGTTGCCAACCCTCAGGAAGTTGGTTCACTGTGACATGCTAGACAATTTTCCCTCCAGAATCTATCTTACATTCGAAGTCTACCAATTATACATGCTTAGAATATTGCTGCCACATACGAGACCCTGCAATTTACCTTGAGCTCCTTGATAAAATTCTGCTATATATTTAGCTTTTTGATGAAATTCTAAGAAGAATCGACAATGTTATATGTCCTGACCTGTCAACTCGGCTTAACAAATAAAAAAATAAATCTATAAATAGGCCAAACAATCCTTTTCTTTCCCCAAAAGTCTAACTTCATTTTATTTTTCGTTGAGAAAAGGACGTGTCCGAAAAGTTCAATATTGAACGTTTTTCTCGTGCTTCTATTTTGGTCTTCAAAGATATATTACAGTCTGCAGGGACTGCAATATCAATAAGGAGACAATTTTTTTGTTAGCGGTCTCTAATAACAATGACGAGGCGATTAACTTTGATTGTTCTGTCAGTGTGTATTGTGTAGTCCCATAAAATTGTTACAGGTCTTATCTCCGTAACCGGGTCTGGGTGGTGTAAATACCAATTTCTTTCAGTTTCCTTCCCGTAGAAGTTGCAGATTTTCCAGTTCAGATATTGGCCCACTTTGTCATGCCGGGTTTTATATTCAGTGGGTGCCAATATCGTGCAACCTGATACAAGATGACCAATCGTTTCTGGATATTTATCACAGAATCTGCATTTTGGGCTGACACAATATTTTAGTATATGTGCTTGATAATACCTAGTTAGCAAGCATTGGTCCTGCGCAGCAAGAATGAAACCTTCGATTTCAGCTTTTAACCCTGCACTACGTAGCCACTGATGGTACGGGTTTTGTCTACGTCAGCTTGTTTGGTACAGGCAGAGTATTGACCGTGAAGTAGTTTATTTTGCCATCGTCTCTGTATCTGGTCGGTTGCTTTCTTTTTTAAGCATTTTGCAGCTTCAGTCGGTGTAATTATTATTATTATTATTATTATTATTATTATTATTATTATGTCTTTTCAAATTTCTTTTATCGTTCTAAATTATTTTCTGTCTTCCATCAGCATGTCTGATGCTAACCTCGACGAAATTGACTCGTTGCCTACAGGGACTAACGTTCTCGGCTGATATGAAGTGGAAAGATTATATTGAATCTATTGCTAGGTCAGTTATCAAGAAAGTTGGTTCACTGTGTCGTACGAGACATTTTTTCTCTTCAGAATCTATCTTACATATCTATAAGTCTACCATTCGTCCATGCTTAGAATATTACTGCCACAGATGGTCTGATGCACTTGCTATATATTTAGAGATCCTTGATAATATCAAAAGAAGAATCAGCAATATTATTGGTCCTGACCTGGCATCTCGACTTCAGTCACTTTCTCACCGCTTTACATTGCCTCCCTGTGCCTTTTTTGAATAAATACTTCCCTGGCAACTGTTAGAATGTGTTCTTTGTTATGGTACCTGGCTTCTTTGAATTTATCGCAGTACTAGACTGGCAATAAATTCTCACCAATAAAGAATGTTTAATCTTCAAAAATTTAAACGCAATTTCAATTGCTTTCTACAAACTTCCTGATTCTTTTTTGTTCTTAGTAAAATTTCTGTTTTCTAATTTTTCCACACCCAGTAACTCCTTGAGTCTTAGTGGCTTTATTTTCTTGCTTAGGGTGGAAGTGATTAATAAAATAAGTTATGTAACAAACAATAAAATACAAATATTTATTTAGACCTACGTACAAAAATTTATGAAAAAAATAACTTATGTTTATAGTATTAAGTGATATATAGCGTTAATCTGGCGAAGAGAAAGAAAAACTAACGGGTGACTGATAGACTAAAAAGAATAAGAGAGAAGGAAAGAATCAAATAAGAAGAGTGGGGAGAATGTGCATGGTCAAAAGAAAAAGAGAAGGGGATAGAGAAATACAGTGAAAAGTAGAGAGAGAGAGAGAGAGAGAGAGAGAAGAAAACGGAAACGAATGAGGAAGAAAGATAGAGACAAAGAAGGGAGAAGGGAGAGAAAGCGGGAGATAAATAAAAAACAGGGAAAGGGAAGACAACGAGAAAAAAAGACAAGGATAGGAGCAAAGGAGGAGAAAGAGGTGGGGAGCAAAAGAAAGAAAGAAAGAAAGAAAGAAAGAAAGAAAAGAAAGAAAGAAAAGAAAGAAAGAAAGAAAGAAAGGAGAGAGGAGGAGAAAGTGGAAAGTAATAAAAATAGGGGATGGGAACGGTAGCGGGAAAAGAGAGAAGGACGATAGAAGCAGAGAGAGAAAGAGAGAGAGAGAGAGAGAGAGAGAGAAAAGAAAAAGAGAGAAAAATAAAGAAAGATAGTGAAAGCAGAAAGACATTTTCGTCAATGAAAATTGCAAAAAAACGTGTGTATGTGTATATGTCAACATATGTTTGAATTAGTGTATGTGTGTTCTTTTTATATTTGTGTATAAATACTTTTTTCTGCGTATGTTTATACATGTGTGTGTTTATATTTTTTTATGTATCTCTGTATATGCATTTAGATATGTATGTCTCTTTGTGTGATTTTATGAACGTGTGTCTATTATGTGCTTGTGTATGTCGATGTATCTCTTTGTCTGAGTGCGTACGTTTGGAGTTTTCTCTGTTTATATGCTCGTGGGGGAGTGATTTGGCGATGGGTCAGTAAGTGTGTCCAGCCTAGAGAGGGTCCACACATCATCCCATCACCGCCCCACTCGCCACGCCCTTGCCAGCGATTTTGACATCAATGCGCAGAGACAAGTCGTCGGCCATTTTGGGTTTTTGTAAGCCTTTTACGTCACTCACTTCTGGTTGTGTTTGGAAAGGCGGGTCAAAATCTGACAGATGAAAAATCCTCGCCCGCTATACACTTTATCTTCCTCTTCCTCCTCCTCCTCCTTCACTGCCGCTTCCGCTTCCGCCGAAAAAAAAAAACATTAAAAGGGGAGAAGGAAAATCTGAATGCATTTCTCCCCACATTTTAGATTTATTTCATTATTATTACTTTATATAAAGACTGAAAATGAAGTGAGGCAAGAAAAGTATAGGGAGTTGGAAAAAAAAATGGAAGAGAAGTGAGGAGAAAGAAGAGGAGAAGGAAATGAGAACAAGGGGAGAGAAAGAGCCGGAGGAAGTCAAGAGCTGATCGAAAGTGGAGGAGGCGAGAGAAAAAGGGCAGGAGGAAGAGAACACGATAGAAAGAGGAATGGGGGAAGAAAAGAACGACAAGACGAGCATCAGGAGGAGGAGGGGGGACAAGAAAAGCGGAGAGACGGAAGGAGTGGCGGAGGTAGAATAGAAGGGAGAGAAATAGCAAGGAAAGAGAAGAGCCGACTGAAAGAGGAAAAGAACGAAGAAAAAGAACAGGAGGAGGAGGAGAAAGCTGAGAGAAAGAGGAGGAGGAAGCGAGAATGAACGGGAAGAAAGAGCAGGAGGAAGACGAGTTTATAGAAAGAGGAGGCGGAAGAGAGAGAAAAAAGCAGGAGGAAGAGAACACCTGATAGAAAGAGGAATAGGAGGAGGAGGAGGAGAACTGAGATATAAAACAAAGACACTGAGAAGACCTGATAAAAAGAGGAAGAAAAGAACGAACACGGACAGCAAGAGGACAAGAAAAGCGGAGAGACGGAAGAAGTGGCGGAGGCGGAAAAAAGAGATAGATAGATAGATAGATAGATAGATAGATAGATAGAGAGAGATATAGATAGATAGATAGAGAGAGAGACAGAGAGTGAAAGGAGGAGTATTCGGACGAGAAGAGCTTATAGAAAGAGGAAGAGGAAATGAACAGAGAAGAGTAGGAGGACGAGAAAAGCAGAGATGAAGGAGAAGGAGGAGGGGACGATGAACGGAGAGAAGAGTGCAGGAGGAAAAGGAGCCTAATGGAAAGAAGAAGAGAGGGTTGGAGATGGGAGAGAATCAACAAGGAGGACGAGAATAGAGGATAGCGTGGGGGAGAAGGGAGGGAAATTACAAGAGGAAGAGTGATAGGAAAAAAGGGAAGGAGAAAAATCAGTTAGAGAAGAAGAAGAAAAGGGAGAGGATAAGACAGTGGAGTAATAGAGAGAGGAGGAGAAAAATAAAAAAGTAGGTGAGAGGTGGGAGTAAAAGAAAAGGACAAGGAAATGAGTAGGCCGGAAGATGAGAAGTAAAACGGTGAAGCAAGAAGAGAAGGAAAGGGGCGTAGAGGAAGGAGAAGAAAGGGAAGAAAAAGGCAAAGTAGGTGAGTGCTAAAGAAGAAGAAGAAGAAGAAGAAGAAGAAGAAGAAGAAGAAGACAAAGAAGAAAGTAAAAAAGAGGAAAGTTATCAAAGTAGAGAAGAAAAAATAGAAAGAGTAAAAGGTAGCGGCGGGGTGTCGAAAATATGAGGGTAGTAACAAAGAGAGGAAAAAATAGATAGAGAGAGAGAGAAAGAAAGAGAAAGAGGGGGGAATATACAAAAGCTAAAGTGTAGTGTATAAAGAGAAAAAAAAACGAGCGACAGAAAGCAACAATAAGGAAAAAAAATATTGGAAAAGTAAGAAAGAGAGGGAAAGCAAAAAAAAAAAGAAAGAAAACGGAAAAGAAATGAGTAAGAAAGAGAGAATAATAAAAGAGAAAGAAAGAGGAAGAGTAAATTAAAGGAAAATGAGAGAGTAGAGTAAAAAGTAAGAGGGAAAAAAGAGAAAATACAAACATAAAAAATCTTGACTGTTTTTGTTTACCAGCATATCAACACCTCTATGGGTTATTTAACGTCGAACTACTTTGTACGCAATTTTATTTTATTTTCGGAGATAATAAGGATTTTAGTGATACAAATTTTTCTAATTAACCCATAGCTTACGGAGAAGCGGTGGATTCATTTCTCAGGGATATTTCTGCATAAGTGAATATAACAAACCCAACGGGAATTCGAACTCGGCTCTCCTATTAACAATTCTGTGCCTTTAACCATTACACCACCCGCACATCCAAGCTTACAGAACCTGGTATTCCTAAGCGGTCACCCTTTATGTACTGATCAGGCTTGACGTTGGTTAACTTTGGTGGTCATAAGGGAACTGGTGTTTCAAAGTGGATATGGTCGAAAGTCCATTGAACAACTCGCAAAGAGAGAGAGAGAGAGAGAGAGAGAGAGAAGAGAGAAGAAGAAGAAGAAGAAGAAGAAGACGAGAGAGAAAAAGCAGAAAGGAAAGGCAGAATGTAACAAAGAGAAAAGTAAAGTGAAAAGACAGAGAGGGTGAATAATAGAGAGATAGATAGATAGATAGATAGATAGAGAGAGAGAGAGAGAGAGAGAGAGAGAGAGAGAGTGAGAACATATCTTGGTAGTAAAGCCGGGCACAATGCTTTTTTTCTTTTTTTTAATTTTTAGCAAATGTTCAGTTATCGTTCAGCAAGTTGTATTTTTGAATCAATGCGTTCTTCAGGATCTAAGAAGAATTTTATTGTTATCAAGAATCCAATGTCACCTCCCCCCACAAAAAAAAACAAATAAAAACCCCCAAAAAACCAAAAAACCCCAAAAACAAAAAAACACATTAAAACCAAAAAAAAAACCCAAAACAAAAAAAAACAACAAAAAACAAAAACAAAAACAAAAAAAAAACCCAACCCAGAAACCCCAAAACAACCCCCCTCCAAAAGAACCAAAAAAAAAAAAAAAACTACAACAAAAAAGTTACAAACCAAAAGCATTGGACAACTATGTAATACCTCCCTTCCTATACGGCAGTGAATGCAGAACAATTTTCTCGCAGATCAAGACTTCAGACAACAAAAACGTGGTTCTACAGAAGGATGATGAGAATACCGTTAACAGAATTTGTCAGCAAGGAGAAAGTTTTAAAGCAAATGAAAACAAAACGTATATTTTTCCTTAGAATAAAAAAGAGACAGTTGAAGCTTCTGGGTCACATATTAAAGAAAGAAGGCTTGGAGATAGTAATACTCACAAGGCATACTGAAGACAAGAAGGACAGAGGTACGCATCGAGTAACATACCTAACAGACTGGTGGTAATTAATGGTATAGCAGGGACTTGGAGTGATGATGAAAGAACAAAATTTACTAAGAGCTAAAAATGATTGGAAGTAGTGGAGAGCCATGATTACGCACATCTTTAAGAGACATGGCATATAGAAGAAGTCGCAAGTATAGAGCATCTTGCTTTTTGTTTTTTAACCAAAACAAGTTAATTTAATAGATAGTCGAAGAGCCACTCAAGGTAGAGTGTCAGTGTGTGAAATAGCCGTAAGGTAATGATGTATAAAATGCGGATCGGTGTTTTACTATCACATGACGACAGGGTACAGAAATTATTCAATAGACATGGCTTTGTTTTTTTCACGAAGTTAGAGGTACTTAGTGAGGAGCAAACTTAAGATGAAGTTTCTGAGAGTAGTTTTTTTTTTTTATATATCCATGTGACTTGTTTAGGATAGGGTCTCCGGCTCCTTAGAAGATCCAATTCATCTCCATCCTAACGTCTCCTCTCAAACTCTGAAATTTTTATTCTTTTTCCTTTTATATTATTTTCCTCAATAGTAGTAAGTAGCTTATATTATTTACATTATTCTCACTGTTATCCTCATCTTCATTGCCATATTCACAACATTTCGGCCGTTGTATGCTTCGACCTTCTTCAGATGATTGAAATTTTGAATCGAACCTTTTATTTCGTCCACCAGGGTAGACATATTACTGGTAATGCATTGCTGATAATAATTTTTTCTTAAAAATTCATTGTTTGTAATAATATTTTACAAAAATGTATTGCTGGTGATAAAACAGTTTGGGGGGTTAACTATTTGCCCATAGCGGGGACCCTAACAGGTGCTACCACCCCGGGTCAGGGTAGACCTGGGAACACCAGCAATAAAGAGGTGGTTCCACTCTCCTCAAAACCTCCTGATCAGATGCCTTGCTGTCGGATGTAGTCTATCGCCCTACGCAGGACGCGTATTTAGTTTATCGTCATACTCAGGTCGCGGGTGTAGTTTCGATTGACGCAGGACCATCTAATATCAAAATTTCTATCCCTGGCTGCTTCTTTATGCCTGACTAGGACGCAATACTCTTGATTATCAAACGTTATTAGTTAATGCTACTTACACGGCGAACTGACAATAAGCAATTCTAAACGGAACATATCAACTATTAGCGACGGCACGCGGTGGAAGAACTTATTTATTAATCAATCATTATATCTTGGCGCATTTTTTTTGTTTCTGTCATTCTATGATGGTTCCTAGTCTAGGAGTGAATACTTTGGGAAACCAATTCCTCATAAATACTATTTAGACTGTAATAAGTGAAAAAAAGCTGGTACATACATTGTTGACCTTGACATAGACCATCTTATATATAAAGTTTGTTATATTTAGTTTAGTGGATGAATTTTAAAAGAAAAAAAAATAAGTGTGCACATTTTAATTTCACTTTAGTCTGCGTGATTGTCTGCAGGTTTGTTTTATATTTTGGAGTCAAACGACACTGTTTGCTGCCGTAACAGGTGTGGACCCAATACGGCAGCGAATTATCGGGCCTGTGCGTGCGCAAGTGATTTACAGTCGGCGCGCCATCGTGGACTCGCTTGAAATGGAACGACTTCGACGGCCATGATGCACGCGTCAAGCGAGAAGAAAGTTGTGAAAAAAAAAAAAATGAAAGAAAGAAATGAAGACGTTAACGGAAGATATTTAGTTTAAATAAAAAAAAAAGCTCAAAAGTTAGAAATAAAAAAAAGAAGATAGTCATGAAATAACAAGGAAGACGAAGAAAAATCACCAGAGAAAATAAAAATCAATATTACAAGTAAAAAAAAAGTGAATGTAGGTAAGAAAAAAATAGTGTCATAGAAAGAAAAAAAAATGTCCAAATTCGTTTCGATCGATAAATAATGGCGGACGACAGAACGGAAAAGTAAACAAGAAATAAACTAAGAAACAATTAAAATGAGTATTTATACAATGCATAAAGTAAGCTGCCTTTGTTTAGATAACAAAAACGAATAAACAAGTTAATGAGAGGCACATGGTGAAGTGACATTGCTCTGAATTGATTATTTAAATCCTCTACATAAGTAAATCATGGCGAACATTATGTGATTGGGAGACACCATCAAAGTCGTATGGTATGTAGAGGGCGTCGAGTTCCATATTAGAAATCACAGCCACACACACACACACACACACACACACACAGTTGAAGTGCTCATATATATTAATACTTAAACTTGTAAGTAAATATTCAAATATAAATAAAGACGCATTTACTTAGAAAAAAAGAAAGATTAGATTTAAAAAAAAAGAAAAGAAAAATAAGAGAGAGAGAAAAAAAGAATGAAAGAAGAAAAATGAGAGAGTGAAAAAAGAAGTAAAATATAAGAGGGAGAGAGAGAGAGAAAGAGAAAGGGAGGGGTAAAATAAGAGAAAAACAGATAGAGAAAAGAAAGAAGAAAATAAAAGTAAGAAAAAAGAAAAGAAAAAATAAGAGAGAGAAAAAGAATGAAAGATGGAAAAGGAGAGAGTAAAAAAAGAAAGAAGAAAAATAAGAGAGAAAAAAGAAAGAAAAATAAGAGAGAGGAAGAAAAGAAAAATAAGGGGGAGAAAAAGAATGAAAGATGGAAAAGGAGAGAGTAAAAAAAGAAAGAAAAAATAAGAGAAAAAAGAAAGAAAATAAGAGAGAGGAAGAAAAAAAAAATAAGGGGGAGAAAAAGAATGAAAGATGGAAAAGGAGAGAGTAAAAAAGAAAGAAAAAATAAGAGAGAGAAAAAGAAAAGAAAAAGAGAGAGTAAAAGAATGAAAGATGAAAAAGGGAAAGTAAAAAAAGAAAGAAGAAAAATTGGGGAGAAATAAAAAAGGAAAAAATGCGAGGGAAATGAAAAGTTAAATTAATACAGGAATGAAAAAAATCGAAACAAAGAAAAGAATTAAAATTTGTAAACGTGAATAAAAAGGAAGGAAAAAGGCGAGCGAAAAGACGGAATAAAGGAAAAATGTATAAAAGGAAAGTCAAAAAGAATCTATCTACCCGCAAAGAAAATTATAAGAAAGAAAATTCACGAAAGAAGAATGAAGAAAATAAAAAAGGAAGCATAAGAAAGACAAAAGAAGAAAATTCGAGTGTCAGAAACAAAGATAAAAAAGAAGAAAGAGAGAGAAAGAGAGAAAGAGAGGGAGGACAAAAGAAGAGAAAGAAAAAGCAAAATAGGAAAAGAAAAATAATACGTGAAAATGGAAAAGAAAAATGAAGCAAAATCTGAATAGCGAGACAGAAGAGGAGAAGCAATATAAACTGAAAGGAAAAGAAAAATAATGAAAAAAATTCGTGTGATAGGAAAGAAGTAAAATGAAAGAAAATAGAAAGAATAAAGAAGACGGAAGAGACAAAAAGAAAAAAAACAGAAATAAAAAAGAAAAAAGAAAGAACATTTGTGAGAGAGAGAGAGGGGAAAGAAGAAAGAAACAACGAAAAAGAAAGAAAAATGTAATTAAAAAGCAAAAGAGAGGGGAAGGTAACAAACCTTAAGCAACGAAAATTCTTGAAAGAGGGAAAAAATGAAAGAAAATAATGAATAAAGCAGAAAGACAGAGAGAGAAAGAGAGAGAGAAGAGAATAAAAGAAGGGAATAAGCAAGAAAAACGAAACATTTGTTATCGAGAAAAGTAAAAAGAAACAGAAAAGAAAGAATAAGAGAGAGAGAAGAGGAGAGAGAGAGGGGGGAGAGAAGAAACTAAGAGAAGCAAGAAGAAAGAAAAGAAGAGAAAAAAGCCAAAGAAAAGTTAAGGAAAGAAAAGGAAAAGAAAGAAAATTCATAACGGAGAAGAGAAAAATGAAACAAAAACAGAGAGAGAGAGAGAGAGAGAGAGAGAGAGAGAGAGGGGGGAGATGAGAAGAAAGAAAAGAAAATATATAGGAAACAAAGAAGGCAACAACAAAAAAAAAAAACAGAAAAAGGACGAGAAAGAAGAAAGAAAATTCGTGAGTGTGGAACGAAAAATTCAACAAAAGAGAAAGAACAAAACAGATAGATGAATAAAGAAGAGAGAGAAAGAAGAGAGAAAAAAACGAAAGAAAAAAGAAGGAAAAAAAAGAAAAATTTGGAAAAACGAAAAAAGAAAGAATAAAAGAGACAGCGAGAGAAGAAAGAAAGACTAGAAAGATTGAAACGAAAAAAAGAAAAGAAAGGCATTTCATGACAGATGGAAGAAGAAAAAAACAGTAAGAAAATAAAAAAAAAGACATAAAAAAACGATAAAAATGAACAGCTCAATAAACATGGTTTCCCAACCAGATGTCATATTCAATCTGGCCCAAGGACAGGAATGCTGAGCAAGAATAAGATTCGAACTCATGAATAGTAATGTCCTGGTAATAATGGTCAACTCTTAGACAACAACAACCAATCTAGAGACGCGCTTGAAATACTTTGACTAGTCTCTAAATGCCACAAAAGTCTCGAGGACAGGATCGCAAGAACAAATAATTCTCAGGAAATGGAAACATTAAATCAACTTGGCCTGTTAGAAAATAGAAAGCAGGAAATGAACAGGTTAAATATTAATATTTTAGACTTATGTGAAACGAAGTGCACAAAGAATGGAGATTTCGTCAGCGACAAACACAGGATCATATATGCCGGCGGAGAGAAAAATGAAAGAGGAGTAGGACTGATATTAGACCAAGACATGAAGAAACGTGTTCTGTGATACTGTCAAGTATCTGACAGAATTCTTGTCGTTAAACTGAAAGGAAAGCCTTTCAACATATCTATAATAGCATAGTAATTTTACTGTACGCTAAACAACGCCAAAGTTCAATGTAAATCGTAAGAAATTACAATTGTCATGGGAAACTTGGATGCCAAAATAGGCAAGGAGGAAGATATTGATGTAGCTGACAAATTTGAATAGGAACTTGTAATAAACATGGAAAAATGGATCCAATGGTGCACGGGGAATGATCAGGTAGAAGCCAACACCCACTTTTAAGAACCCCCAAGATTTGGAGGAGGCCAAGGCAGCACCCAAATTGCAATATGACTGACTCTTGAATGAGCCGAATGTAAACGAGAAATATATGGACAGTGGGAAAAGCAGATATAATGGACAAAATAAAAATGGAAACTCCAAGTGATAGTTGGAGAATTAAGGGAAGCTTTAGTAACGTCAGCCATCGAGATCATCGCAAAGAAAAATAGACTAAGATTAAAAAAAGAATTAATGGTGAAGAAGAAGACAAAAAACAAAGATAAGGCACAGAGTATAGGACACTACACAAAGAAATAAGGACCGAATGCAGGCAGGCTAAAGAGGAATGGCTCAACGGAAAGTGTGCAGAAACAGAAATAATGAGTATTACAGACAAAGGGGATAGTTATAAAAATAGGAGAACAAATACAAAAGAGATGTTCATCAACAGCCTGCATAAAATCCAAGGACGAAACGCTGGTATTAGAGAAAGAAAAAGTACTTGAGATGGAACGAATATATAGGAGAACTCTTCCACAACGTAAGAGAACAAAAGGCGACCTGGGTAATAGAGATCTGGGTATCTTTAGAAAGGGGTGAAAGACAAGAATGTGTTTTTTTTTTTTTTTTTTTTACGGCATATCAACATGGGTTAATTAATGCCGACAAGATTTGTATTGCTGGTAATATTTTTTTCAAAAATGTATTGCTGGTAATAATTATTTTCTTCAAAGATTTATTGCTGGTAATAATTTTTTACAAAAATATATTGATGGTATTAAAACCTATTTTTACACTTTCATAATGGTAATTTTTCTTTTTTCAAAAATGTATTGCTGGTAATTTTTTTATATGCATTGCTGGTAAATTTTTAATTGTATTGCTGGAAAATTTTTTAAAATGTATTGCTGGTAATATTTTAAAAAAACAGTATTGCTGGTAATAATGTATTGCTGGTAATGATTTTTTCTTCAAAAATGTATTGCTTGTAATAATTGCTTATAAAAATGTATTGCTGGTATTAAAACACGGCTTGACCCCAGTTTGGGAGTTAACTATTTGCCCATAGCTGGGGTGCTACCACTCCGGGTCAGGGTGGACCTGGGAACACCATCGCTCCTCAAAACCTTCTGATCAGAGACCTTGGATTGGATATAATTTATCGTCTTACCCAGGATGCCGATGTAGTTTATCGTCTTACCCAGGACGCGGATGTAGTTTGATCGTTATACCCAGGACGCGAATGTAGTTTATCATCTTATTCAGGACGCGGATGTAGTTTATTTTCTTACTCAGGATGTGGATGTAGTTTATCTTCATACCCAGGATGCGGATGTAGTTCATCGTCATACCCAGGACGCGGATGTAGTTTATCGTCTTACCCAGGACGCGGATGTAGTTTGATCGTTATACCCAGGACGTGAATGTAGTTTATCATCTTATTCAGGACGCGGATGTAGTTTATTTTCTTACTCAGGACGCGGATCTAGTTTATCGCCATACCCAGGACGCGGATGTAGTTTATCGTCTTACCCAGGACGCGGCTGTAATTTATCTTCATACCCAGTACGCGGATGTAGTTTATCGTTATACCCAGGGCGCCGTTTGACGAGAACCGAACTCACTGCAGTAGAAAGAATATCCTAGATATGCTTACTAACAAGTCGTTAATAATTTTCTTTCATGTTCCTCTTTGAAAAGCTCGTGAAACATCTTCAATACATTCAAAATATTTCTCCTTAAAATGGAACAATCTCAAATGTTCTTGTTTTGAATTCAGATAAAATAAGCTTAAAAACATGTCGGCAAAAATTTTAACCTTTCAGAATCTTATCATATATCTGTTTGCCATAAAATTGAACCCTTTTCAGTTTTGAGGCACGTTTTATATGTGACTATTCTGATTAATTTCAATACACACGGGAAATATCAGATTTTATGAAGCTTAGAATTCTGTTCTGTTCGGGTTGGTTCTATTTAGACAACCATCTTGTTTTACTTGGTGTCAGTTTTTTAACCTTCATCTTACTATATGAGACAGAAGGATTTTAATAGAAATTGTGTGGCCATGTACTTTATAAATCAGCTATTAGGGTTGGCACATAGGCATAAACGTTCGCCACTCCTGATGAACCGTTGTACTTTCAATGGAAGGAGGGGTTTGCTTTGAACGCCTGTTGCGCCTCATCCCCCACCCCAGTGGAACTCGTATATCCACCACGCTTACCACCATATCACGTTGAAACATAGGCACTCGTTCATTAAGCCAAAGTTAAGCAACTTATATCCTGGTTACCACCTCGATGGGTGACCGCTTGGGAATATCACTTGCTCTAACTTGGATGTGCTGGTCGTGTAATGGGCTTACGGCCATATCCTGATGAAATACCGTTTCTCGTACGATCACCGAAGGTAAGCAACGTCGAGCTGGGTCACTACCGAGATGGGTGACCGCTTTGGCAAATCACTTGCTGAAACCTTGGTGGTGTAATGGCTTACGGACATATACCGATGAAATACCGTTTCTCGTGCGATCACCGAAGGTAAGCAACGTCGAACCGGATCACTACCGAGATGGGTGACCGCTTTGGAATATCACTTGCTCTAAGCTTTGATGTACGGGTGGTGTAATAGGCTTACGGCCATATACCGATGAAATACCGTTTCTCATACGATCACCGAAGGTAGCAACGTCGAGCCTGGTCACTACCTAGGTGGGTCACCGGCTGGGAATACCAGTTGATATAATACATCAGAATAGTTAATCGAAGAGACGAATTCCATTTCAAGTGGGGTTTATTACATTCACTTATGTGTGTTTTTGGGAAAAGGTGTGAATGCCCTTCTTCCCCCAACTATGGGTTAATTAGTGAGAGGTGTATCACTAACCTATTATTATCTCCCCCACCCAATTATTACAATCTAAAAATATTTTCTGACTTGAAATGAACTGCAAGTTGTAGAAAAAGGGCTCGCAGCGAGAAGTCGGGCTGCCAAGTTCGAATTCCAGTTGGGTTCGTTACATATATTTACACGCAAATACCGTCAGCAAACGTATAGTTCCACCTCTTCTCCCACCCATAATTTTCTTTTATGTTCCCATTTGAAAAGATGTAACGTCGTAAGCCTATTGCTAATCTATCGCTATTTCCAAGGCAAATGTTTAGGTGAGCACCATTCCTTAGTTTCATCAGTCCAGACCTTTACAGCTAAGCCTCTCGTAACTCTATCGCTATTTCCATGGCAAATGTACAAACGAGCTACATTTTAAGTTCCACCAGTCCAGACTTTTACAGAGAAGCCTCTCGCAACTTTATCGCTATTTCCATGGCAAATGTTCAGACGAGCTACATTCCTCACTTCCACCAGTCCAGACGTTTACAGCTAAGCCTTTCGCAACTTTATCGCTATTTCCATGGCAAATGTTCACATGAGCAGCATTCCTCAATTCACTAGTCCAGACGTTCACAGCCAAGCGTCTCGCACCTCTATCGCTATTTCCTTGGCAAATGTTCAGACGAGCTACATTCCTTTGTTCCACCAGAGCAGACATTCACAGCTAAGCTTCTCGTTACTCTATCGCTATTTCCATGGCAAATGTGCAAAGGAGGAGCATTACTTAGTTCCTCCAGTCCAGACTTTTACAAGTAAGCCTCTCTCTAATCTATCGCTATTTCCATGGCAAATGTTCAGACGAGCTACATTCCTTAGTTCCACCAGTTCAGACCTTTACATCTAATCCTCTCTCTACTCTATCGCTATTTCCATGTCAAATGTTCAGACAAGCTACATTCATTAGTTCCACCAGTTCAGACCTTTACATCTAATCCTCTCTCTACTCTATCGCTATTTCCATGTCAAATGTTCAGACAAGCTACATTCATTAGTTCCACCAGTTCAGACCTTTACATCTAATCCTCTCTCTACTCTATCGCTATTTCCATGTCAAATGTTCAGACAAGCTACATTCATTAGTTCCACCAGTTCAGACCTTTACATCTAATCCTCTCTCTACTCTATCGCTATTTCCATGTCAAATGTTCAGACAAGCTACATTCATTAGTTCCACCAGTTCAGACCTTTACATCTAATCCTCTCTCTACTCTATCGCTATTTCCATGTCAAATGTTCAGACAAGCTACATTCATTAGTTCCACCAGTTCAGACCTTTACATCTAATCCTCTGTCTACTCTATCGCTATTTCCATGGCAAATGTTCAGACGAGCTACATTCCTTAGTTCCACCAGTTCAGACTTTTACATCTAATCCTCTGTCTACTCTATCGCTATTTCCATGGCAAATGTTCAGACGAGCTACATTTCTTAGTTCCACCAGTTCAGACCTTTACATCTAATCCTCTCTCTACTCTATCGCTATTTCAATGGCAAATTTTCAGACGAGCTATATTCATTATTTCCACTGTTTCAGATCTTTACGGCTAGTGACCATTATTCTACGTACACAGGTTCGAATCTTTCAAATTACTTTTATATTCCATTGGTAAGGAGGAATTTTCACTTAGACATCTTCTTCCCAGGATTTGCCACTTTGATGATACTTCCCTTCAATTTTAACCTCTGGAAGTTTAGTCAAGTGTTTTCTATCCTATGCATCCTTATTATTTTAATTTACTTCCACCTCTTACATCCATATAACAATCACACTCAGTAACTTTCTACATTGAGTGGCTCCTTGGCCTTTTATAGGGCGAATATTTAGTAAAAAGAAAAAAGAAATCTCTTCCTCTCTGTGCTTTGCCATTTCAGGATTTAGGCGATCATGATTCTCCACAAATCTTTGGATGCTCTAAATAATTCTTCATTCTTTCTTCTGATATCTATTTACTAAAGCGAGTTGCCTGTTCTTTTTTTGTATTGCTTGCCTTCAATGTGCCCTGGGAGTGTTAAATGCTCCAAGCCTTCTTTCCTCATATTATGTCCGAGATCTTTCAGCTGCTTCTTTTGATTGTCAGCAATAGTTTCTTTGTTGTTTCTTTTACGGTAGTTTTCGGGTAACAACAGAAACAAATAATCTATATATATATATATATATATATATATATATATATATATATATATATATATATATATAATATGCCACATAGATAATGTTCATTTAATGAAACTCAATACCCCATATAGATGGCTATTTCACCTCCTAAGGAAAAATTCCTTACCGAGGCTTTTCAATACAAAAACGTTAACAAAAAAGTTAACTTTTTGTGTTCTGCCGCCCATTTATGCAAGTAAGTAGCTTACTTACTGTTAACCTTTGACCCTCTTGTCTTCAATATGTTCTGTGAGTGTCAAATTCTCCAAGACTTCTTTCTTCATCAGATCTCCTTAAAATCTTAACTGTCTTTTTCCCATTCTCAGTACGTTTCCAAACAAGATCCCAATAATGTATGTAAACTTGGAATTCCTTTAATTGTTCCAAGGAAATCTGCTCTTGAACTGGTTCCTGTTCTCTCCAAACTCAACAACAAAGAACTTGTTGCTTCTTGTTTTCCAGCATGTCAGAAATCCTCTTCTGTAGTTCTTGTCTTTAACAACTTTGCGGAACCTTCTCATTCCTCGTTCTATTAGCTACGTAGAATGAGAAGAAAGGACTAAGCATAAAATACAAGAAGACAGAATGCATGGTCATCAGTAAGAGGAAGAGCCCGAAATGCGATTTGAAGCTCGGGAACACTAGAATCAAGCAGACGCGGAAGTTTAAAATATCTGGGAAGCGTCTTGACAGAAGACAATAAATACGACACAGAGTTCCGTAGACGTATTGGGATGGCCAAGGACACATTCCAAAAGCTGGGCAGAGTATTGCGAGATAGGAGGATTTCTTTGTTACCAAAGAAAAGAATACTGAACTGTTACGCGACATCTGTCTTTCTTTACGGCAGCGAATGTTGGACGATTTCCTCAAAGATGAAGAAGAGACTCGAGACGGCAGAGATGTGGTTCTACAGAAGGATGCTAAGGATATTATGGATCGAGCGTGCGAGCAACGATGAGGTCTTAGAGAGGTTGCAAACATGGAGGAGGCTTATACTTAACATCAGAAAGGGGCGGCTGAAGTTTCTGGGACATATAATGAGGAAGGAGGGCCTGGAGAATCTGATACGCACGGGTCGAACAGAGGTAAAGAGAGACAAGGGAAAATAACGCGTGACATACCTGGCGGACTTAAGCAAGTGGATGACAGAACGTGGTCTGGGGGAAGTAGCAGAGTGAAGGAACTTGTTGAGAGCTGCAAGGGATAGAGGAAGAGGTGGAGAGCCATGATCGTCTACGTCCTAAAAAAGACGTGGCACATAAAAAGAAAGTAAGAAGTATTTTCTCTCCTTTTGGCAAAATGCTAGAAGCTCAAATCAACTCCGAAATTGTTAAGCATCTAACTTCGCACGGCCTTTTTCAGATAAACTATATGGCTTTCTTTTATCTAGGGCAACCGCCAATGTGATTTGGTTTGGCTAGTTTTATTTTACGGCATACCATCCTCAACGGGTTATTTAATGCCGACAATATTTTTATTGCTAGTAATTATTCCTAAAATGTATTGCTGGTAATATCTTTTTCTTGAAAAATGTATTGTGGGTATTTTCCACAAAAAAATTATTGCTGTGTTAAAACTTATTTTTATACTTTCATAGTGTTTTAACCCCAGTTTGGGAGTTAATTATTACCCACAGTTGGGACCCTAACAGGTGCTACAACCCCAGGTCAGGATGGACCTGGGAACACCAGCAATTAAGAGGTGCTTCTGAACAGAGGCCTTTCTGTCGGATGTAGTTTATCTTCTTAACCAGGATGCGGATGTAGTTTATCGTCATACCCAGGACGCGGATGTAGTTTATCACCTTACCCAGGACGTGGATGTAGTTTATCGTCATACCCAGGACGCGGATGTAGTTTATCACCTTACCCAGGACGCGGATGTAGTTTATCGTCATACCCAGGACGCGGATGTAGTTTATCAACTTACCCAGGACGCGGATGTAGTTTATCGTCATACCCAGAACGCGGATGTGTGTTTATCGTCATACCCAGGACGCGGATGTAGTTTATCACCTTACCCAGGACGCGGATGTAGTTTATCGTCATACCCAGGACGCGGATGTAATTTCACCCCTCATCACCTGTACCCAGGACGCGGATGTAGTTTATCGTCATACCCAGGACGAGGATGTAGTTTATCACCTTACCCAGGACGTGGATGTAGTTTATCATCTTACGCAGGACGCGGATGTAGTTTATCACCTCATCCAGGACGCAGATGTAGCATATCGTCTTACCCAGGACGCGGATGTAGTTTATCACCTTACCCAGGACGCCAATGTAGTTTATCATCTTACCCAGGACGCGGATGTAGTTTATCGTCATACCCAGGACGCGGATGTAGTTTATCATCTTACGCAGGACGCGGATGGTTTATCACCTCATCCAGGACGCAGATGTAGCATATCGTCTTACCCAGG